TATACAATACATGATGTACATATATCACATATGACATGTAACACATGCTATCTAGGTCCACAACACAGATATGTAGATCCATGTTTACACAGATATTGTTATAGGTACAGGTATACCTGCTGGTAGAAACTGGGGAGATATCGTGGGGGTTAGGGGTGCACACTTTGCATGTGCCCACCCTGGTTCAATCCCTGGCACTGTGAGTATCCCTGAGTAAGGCCCCCCTGACCCCCAAGACCTTCCAGGCTGGCCCTGAAGGTTCCAGCCTGGCAGGGTCCACGTTAGACCCTGTCCTGGAGCCCTCGCTTCAAACCACTGGCCTGGCTGGCCATGTGTACCCCAGAGTGGCCCCAGAACTCCTGAGCACTACTGAGAGCATCGCCCCCCCATAAAAATGCATATGCAAATAGAGATATTGGTGCAGGTATATATATATGTATACAGAGAGAGCTAATAGGAGAGAGATCCATATATGCAGACGTCGATGTAAATGTGTGCACACAGATATGAATGTAGATTATCTAGCGGTACAAATGTAGATTGCCTAGATAATCGACATTTATCTGGCTAATTCCTAGTTCCATTTCCATCTACACATTCACGTCTACATCTTCACTTGTAATGTAGATGTAAATGTGGACGCATAGGTATAAATATAGCTCGCCTAGACACACTCAGATCTACAGATACGCTGTTAGGTATGTGGCTGCAGTGGGAAGCAAGCATTCTCCTCAGCGCGGCCTGACTGTGCACCCTGCTGTCTACGCCGCACACTCTCCACTCTTCCGGGAGCGTATTTCTTCAAAGGTTTTTATTTTATTTTATTTTTATAGATTTTTCACTAAGAAAACACCATGAGGTACAGTTGTAGACTTACAAATTTTTGTGCTTGGATTTCAATTATACAATGATCCAATACCCATCCCTCCACCAGTGCCCATTTTCCACCACCACGGGTCCCAGTATCCCTCCCACCCCCCATCCCCCCCCATCCCCCCCTTCCTCTGTGGCAGGGCATTCCCTTTTGTTCTCGCTCTCTCCTTTTGGGTCCTGTGGTTTGCAAGAGAGGCATTGAGTGGCAATCATGTTCGGTCTTTAGTCTACTTTCAGCGTGCTTCTCCCATCCTGAGAGGATCCTCCCAACACCCTGTATTTGGTGCTCCCTTCTCTGAGCTCCCTTTTCCCCTAGCATGTGTGGCTGGCCTCCAAGCCATGGAGCAAACCTCCTGGTACTTATATCGACAGTTCTTGGGTGTTAGTCTCCTATTTTGTTACTTTATTTTCTAGGAGCATATTTGAAGTCTCCTTGGCTGATGGATGCTTTCAAGGCTTAATCCTTGCACAAACTTGTTTTTCTTGTTGTAGAAACAGGCTGTCGCTGCTTTTCTCCCTGAAGACACCCCTGCAAAGTGGTGAGAGCGAATCCAGAGCAGCCTGGCCGGGAGCCCGTGGGTGAGCAGACGACTCCCCTGAGTCCCCGCATTCCCCGTCCTCTGTCTGTGCCACTGTATGTGCCCAGGCTCTGCTGCGACCGGCAGTCTCCCGCTGTGGAGTTTGTGGATGAGGCACTTCCTGGCTGAGGCATTCTGCACATGATTTGGGGTTGCAGTCCTCTCTGAGGTTTGCACCCCTCCTGGCTGCAGCGAACTAGAAGTCCTTTGCAGGGCTGCGGTTCGCCTCAGCCATGTCCACGCACACAGGTGGCCTGGCTCTGCCACTGAGCCCCTTCCTTCCCTCCCGTACCCCAAGACCGGTGTGTCTCCACCCTCCACCCTCATTTCTGGAGGTTCAGCTCCGTGAGCTCAAGCTCACTCCGGCCCTCCGAGGTCCAGGGCATAGCAAATCCTCCATGATTCAGAAACTCACAGGCAGCATCTTCCTCTGTTTAACTCTAGACGGAGACCTCAGGGCCTGCAGCCGCGGGGGGTTGAATGTGGGCTGACTCCCCATCTTCCTCCTCTTGCTGAGGAGCAATGCCTGGCGAGCACTCCAACACTCTGCCTGAGCGCCAGCTTGCAGACCCTCGCATTGTCCCCAGGGAGAGCCACTCCCAGAGGGTGGGGCTGCAGGCCTGGCCACGGGGTCTCCTGGCTTGGGCCCACCCAGACCGGGAGGAGCAGGCGCAAAGGGCACTCAACTCGTGGCTGCCGTCCACGGAGGAGCTGGCACGAAAGCTCATGGCTGCCGTCCAAACTCCCACGAGCTGCCGTGGCCTCGTCAGTCGCACTGCAAGTGGGTGTCTGTTCCCACGGGTTGGGATCCTGCTGTGCTTGTCCCGTTCCCAGGGGACCCACAGTCTAAGTGTGCGCGACAGGCCTGTCAGAGGAGTGAGCAAGCAGGTGAGCTGGTCTCTGACCAGGGCTGCTGAGGCACTGGCATTTAGTAAGCAAAGTAGCAAGATGGGGCGGGGGCCGCAGGTGTGCCCTCACGCCCCCCTTCCTGCCCCGCATTATTGCAGAGGAGCTGGTCCCAAACCTGGTACCCCAACCATGACGCTCAGAGAGAAGGATGCAGGAGACGGCAAAGCGAAAGAAGGCGTGTCCAGGATGAAACCGGTCAGTTTCGGCCTCTGTCCTCTACAGCTCTGCGGGTGCCAGGGCCCCTCCCCCCTCCCCTCCAGCACCCCCTGCTGTCCTGCCCCCTCCTAGGGGAGCTGGAGTTGAGGTGCGGTCAGGCTGGGAAAGTGAGGAGTGTCTTTTCTCAGTCGGAGTGACGATACTGTCCCCAGGGACACTCTGACCCTCCAGCCCCCCAGTTCCCTGCCACTGCCTCCAGGAAGCCCTCAACACTTAGGAAGGCACTTTCTCACCAGGAGCCCTCGGCCTCAGCCTTTCTTCTTTATTGTGCTCACTCTCGATGGATCCCAGGGCCTCACACAGGCGAGACTGTGCTCTTAACAGGAAGATGGGGTGGGGCGGGGAGGCACCTCACAAACACCCCACAACTGCAAGTGATGGGGTGTCACAGAGCTCAGTGCCGGACCCTCCCTAAAACCAGACCCAAGCCTCTGCCCACAGCAACGTTGCTCAGTTTGGCCTCACCAGCTCCCACCCTCCCCGGCTTCTCCCGCTCAGAGTAAGAGAGACCAGCGACAGAGCCATATAGAGGGGTGTGGGCATTGAGGGGGTTGCCCTGCACGCAGCAGCCCCCGGTGGATCCCCAGTACTCCTGTGATCCCCTGAGCCCCAGGAGTGACCCCTGAGCATTGACAATAAATAGAAGGGACACTCCGACCAGGGTTGTGGGCAGGCAAAGAGCCCGCGGGGACCCAAATCATGATTGGGGCTCAGTGCTGGGCCAGGCTGGGCAACCCCTCCTCCATCCTGTCATCTTCCACAGGGAGAGAGTGGTCACCTGTTTCTGTGCTCAGGGTCACTCCGGGCTCTGTGCTCAGGGCCACTCCTGGCTCTGTGCTCAGGGTCACTCCGGGCTCTGTGCTCAGGGCTCAGAGGACTGTAGGTGATGCCAGAGTTTTAAACTGCACTGGCCACATGAAAAGCATGTGCCTTGAGGCCCTGCGCCATCTCTCTGGCCCATCCTGGCCCTGGGCTGTCTCTGGTCCTTCCTGTCCCCATCCTGGCCCTGCACTGTCTCTGGCCTGTCCTGTGCCTTTCCAGTGTTCAGCTCCGAGAGGAAGAGGCTGCCCAGCCAGTCTGTGTTTTAGCAAGATCAGGTGGGACCCCCACTTGCAGGTGAGGCCCCCCCGCAAGGAGGGTGTGAATTCAGAGTTAAGGTGGGAAGAGAATGAGGGGGTGCCTGGAAATCCCCTGCAGGGGTGCCACATACCACAGGCCCCAGCTGGGAGGAGCCCCGGGACACCCTTTTCTGGGACCCCCGCGGTGCCCTGCTCGCTGCTGCCCGGCCAGGCACGGAGGTCTTCCAGCAGCCTTGTCTTACTCCCCTTTGGGGTGTGGGGGACCCTCGGCCACTGTAACACAATTGCATCCGGTCCTGCTCAGGACTGTGGTCAGGGAGGGGCTCAGGCAAGTGCTGAACATCAGCTCAGGAAGGGCCTTTCTCCAGGGGGTTGTGGGGCTCACCAGGTGGTGGGCTCAGCCCCCTGCGGGGCTCAGCTGCCCCTCTGGGATGTTTTGGTCCCGCAGGGGTGCGGGGTGGGCCTGGGTGCTGGTTCCAGCACGTGCCCCTCCTTGCCCCTGCATTCCTACACCCCTAACTTTTATTCCAGTCTGTCCCCCCACTAAACCAAGGTGCAAGCTTCCTGTCTCTGCTGGGGGATCAAGCCCAGTCCTGGACTTTTGGGGCTTCTGCCACTCTCAAGCACAGCTTCGCCACCCCGCCCTGGCGGCGGCCCCTGGGCTGGGCTGTCCTCTGCACATGAAGAGGATCCCACCTCCTCAGCACTGACCCCGCAACCCCCCCACCCCAGGCAGCCCCACGGGAGGACGGCTGTCTCTCTGCCCGGGGTGGCGCAGGGCACAGCACGCCCAGTGCCCACCACTGCCAGGCCCACACTGGCCATTTGTGCCTGAGCCTGTGTACCCCCTCGGGCTGGACTGCACCTCTGCATCCACCCAGGTCTAGAATTTCTCCACACTCTGTCCCGGGGGCAGGCGCAGGGGTGGGGTGGGGAGAGTGGAGGCTCCAGAAGTGGGGGGCTTTGTCTGAGGAGGCAGTGTGCTCAGGGGTGCGGTCAGCACGTGCGTGGCCTCGCTGCTCCATCCTCCCCCACTCCCACGGGAGACTGACTTGCCCTAGTTTATGGCAGACCCTCCCTCCACGCCCCTTTGCTGAGATCGTTTAGAAGGAGACGGACAGTCTCCCCCCCGGGAGCCCTGTAGCTGGGCTGTGATCCGGCAGACGGGTCCTGGAGCACTGCCCTGGCCGTGCCCACCCCCACAGGGCAGTCAGTGCTGTTTCCTGCTGGGAAGATGCGGTTGCCACACTTCCGCTGGGCAACCCGCCCGCCCTCTGCCCTCCCCGCATGGACTCTGCCTCCTCACGCACGGGGATGCCCAGGCACGGCCCGGGGTCCAGGGTCCGCTTAGGGCTGGGCCTCTCACTGCCAGGAGCCGGACATGGACCCCCGCGATCTCAGTCAGCAGGCCCTTCCTCTTGGTCCCAGCAGTGACCCCGGTCTCAGGGGGCCGTCCCAGGGAGCCCGCCCACCCGGGAGGAGTGGAAGGAAGGTAAACACAGCGGCTGGCTGGTGAGCTGCTGCAGCTGGCCAGGCCTGGCCCAGTGCGGGCGGCAGCCCGAGAGCCCAGCGGGACCCTGGGGTCTGAGCTTGAGTGCTGGGGTCTGAGTGCTGAGGACTGGAGCCTGAGTACAGCGTCCTGTGGGGTCCTGCCTGCCTGAGGGTCCTGGACCTGCCCCAGCTCCAGTAGTGCTGTGTTCAGGCATGTGGGGTACAGCGGTCTCACACATGCTAGGGGTCCCTTCCCCTTCCCACTCCCCCCTCTGCCCATGGGGTGCTGGTGAGGGGGACTGGGCCACAGAGTGGGGTGGCTCCCGGGCAGCAGTGATCTCCCCCCTGCCAGGATTGGGTGAAGGAGAGAGACCAAGGCCCAGAAAGGAGCCTGGGCTGAGGAGAGGGGCTGAGGCAGGTGTCCCATGCCCCCAGCTCCTGTGGCTACAGGGAGGTGTTGGGCCCCACTCCCTCATAAGGGGCAGAGGCAGGACCTCCGCAGGAGACAGAGTCTGGGCCCGGCTCACGGGGGGCCCATAGGGGATGTGGCCAGAGCCTGGGAGATGGAAGAGTCTGGAATGGGAGGAGCCTCACAGCCAGGTCAAGAGCAACCGTGGCATGGACATGGGCAACAGGCCCTGGTGCTGTGGCTAGGGCCTGAGGGAGAAGAGGAGGAAGGCCCTTTCAGAGCATGCTCTGATAGGACGCCCTGCTCTGGGACCCCTCAAGTGGGGGGGGTCTTGGCCCCCCCCCGCCCCTGCAGGGGCCAGCCTTGCTTGGCGGAACAGTGGGGGACACATGATGTGCCCTGATCCCGAGTGAGACCCTCACGTGTCTCTGTTTCCCTACCTGTGCTTGCAGGACAGAGAAGCCCAGCCTCGGGGGCAGGGAGCTACTGCCCTGGGGGTCCGGGGAGGGGGCGGGGCAGCACCCAAGGGAGCACCCTGCAGAACTCCCTGCGACCCCACCACGGGCGGAGGAAACGCAGCAGTCCCCGCCTGGACAGGACCCCTGTGTGCCTGGGGGACTCCACTCTTCCTTCCTTGAGTGTCCTCTGCTGCCCGCACAGCCGCCTTGACCACTCTACCTTTCCTTCCAGAACTGGTCCTGCTCACTCGTCGTGGCATCCCTGGTGGGCGCCTTTGGCTCGTCCTTCCTCTACGGCTACAACCTGTCGGTAGTGAATGCGCCCACGTCGGTGAGTGCCCAGCAGGAGGCGCTGCAGCCGCACCTGCATGCAGCAGAGCCCGTTGCGCTGGACAGTCCAGCAGGTGGCAGGAAGGATGGAGAGTGGGGCCGCCCCTGGCTTGGAGGGACAGGTGGGAGATGGGGCAACAGGGGCTGAAGGCAGCATAGGGCTCCATCCTTGCGTCTGGGGGGCGGGTGTACTGGGGGAGCCCTGCGAGGGGAGGGGGCTTCGGGCCAGGCAGGGGAGGACCGGAGGGTCTTATTCCAGGCCGAGGGGCAGGAAGTCTGAGCCCTGTGCGTTTGAGCCTCTTCTAGACGGTTTTTTCCATCTTCGTGGAAGGCGCCCTGAGGGTCTGTTGGCTAAGACCCGCTGTTGGGGGTAATGGGGATAAAGTTCAGTGGTCAGAGCATGTGGGGGCAGGCACGGCCGAGTCTGCCCTCAGACTCAGGTGGCCCCACAAGCATCACCAAGGGCAGCTCTGGAGGCCTTGAGCACTGCCAGGCCCGAGCGTTTGTTGCCCTGCAGTCTGGTCAGTACTGCTGGGAGTGGCCCGGGTCCCCGAGCACTGCTTGGGATGTCAGTAAAAGACCCATTTTTGGCTTCTGTTTTTATCCCAGAACCGGGTCCCTAAGAGTCCATTCCCCTGGGCCCCCAATGCCCCCTCCTGGTTCGAGGGTTTGGGAAATGGGCAATGCAGAACGCACACTCACAGAATGCGCCTGGTGTCTCCCTACCATGGGAGTAAGGCAGAAGGGAATGGGCAGGACTTCCTGGAGGAGAGGGCAACTGAGCTGTGCCATGAAGGCAGAGGGCAGAAGGTGAGGCCCTGGAGAAATACAGCTCAAGCCCAATTCTCTGTCCACCTAGGAGGCCCTTCCAGTGGGGCCAGCCCCCAGCCTCTCCTTCATACAAAGGCTCTGAGATCCACAGGGTCCTCAGAGCCTCCCCCAAGGCTCAGTGGCTCCTTCCCGAGGACAGGGACAGTGGTCGGGAGACCCTGAACTAGAACCCACTCGTTCTAGCTCCGCAGGGGAGTGTGGGCTGCGTCTGTTCCAGCCAGAACATGAGTCATGGCTGAGAGAAGGCAGGAGGGGAGAGGACGGACACCCGGTTCTCCTTCAGGCCCGCCTATGGCCCTGCTCCCGCAGCACATCTGCTGGCCTCAGACAGAAGGGCCAGAACACCCGGCTTTCTGAAGGCAGGTGGGCCTGAGAAATAGGACAGCAAGGACAGCACGCCAGGGAAAGAACCCAGTCCCCAACCGCCCATGCGCCCCCAGAGCCCCCACTCCATGCACCAATAGACGTCCACCCGCCCCACGCACCACCAGAGACCTCACCCATGCACCCACAGAGCCCCTGAGACTGGGTAGTTCACACTTTCCTAAGAGCATAAATTCTGCCGGAGCTCTCGGGCTCCCAGGAGACCTAGAGATAAGGGTCAACCAGGAGAGGGTCGAATAAAACGCCTGAAATGCCCCAATACAGGCTGTGAGTTTTTTCTAAACACACATGGGCCCTGAGTGAGCAAGGACTGTCCAGAAACCCATGGGGATCCTCTCTGACTTGGTGTGCTTAGTAACAGGAAGACCCCGTTTTCCTATAAAAACTTTTAACTTAGTCCTATACTCAGTTCCTCCCCTGACGGGAGTTTCTCTCTCTTCTAATTACTTTCCAGTAAACTTTTCTATTTTCTCATTCTGCGCATCTTTATTATTCAGTATTTTTCATTCTTGAAAATATTGAAGAACCCAGGACCTGGGCAGAAGCCCAGAGACTGGCACCACCGTTCCTGCCTCATCACCAGCTCTGGGGAGTGACTCAGGGACCTGGGCATCCCCCCACCCCCAGGCCAAGCTTGTCTCCCATGATGGGGGTGGGAGAGTAGGGGGGTGGTGCTGCCCTCCGGGTCTCCTGGAGCAGAGAAGCAGGTGTCTGTCCAGGCGTCCGAGAGTGTCGGTATCAATGATGGGGGCAGCGGAGAAAGGCTGGCAGAGTTTTGTGGGGCCCCAGCCCGCACCCAGCATGCGATAGGCAGAGCAGACAGAAGTCTTCCTGGGGTGCTGGCACTGTGCCGCTGGCTTCCCGTGGGAGCCTGTGCATGCAGCAGCCCCTGGACTGGCAGGAGAGGACAGGGGAAGGAGCCTGCACCGCTGTGCGACCAGGAGCCCCTGTTCCTGATCCCTGTGTCCCTGCCTCTCCAGGGACATGAGTTAGGAGTTAGGGGAGTCACTTCCTTCTGGGATCCACAGGGTCCTCAGAGCCAGGACCCCAACCTGCTGCAGTAGGAGTGCGCGGGTGGGATTGGGGGCTCTGTAGGGGTGCTCAGGGCAGGATTGGGGGCTCTGTGGGGGTTCCTGAAGCAGGGGACTCTATGGGGGCATACAGGGCAGGGAGTGGGGTTCTATGGGGTTCCCCGGGGCAGGGGCTCTGGAGTGCATGGGGTGGGGTGGGGTCTCTGTAGGGTGCATGGGGTGGGGGCTCTGTGGGGTGCATGTATGTCCCATGCACACACCCTTCCTATGCACGTGTCTCCCTCATGCTTATGCCCATCCCATGTACATGAATATTCCATGTACATGTCCATCTATGACACCCCCTCCTCATGCATGTATTCAGCCTTCTTTTGCTGTGAGACCTTGTTTTTCTCTCTATCTAGGATCCTTTTCTACTCAATTTAAGTTTTCCTTTGTGTGTGTGTGTGTGTGTGTGTATGTGTGTGTGTGTTGGTTTGAGGACCACACCTGGTGATGCTCAGGGGTTACATCTGGCTCTGCACACAGGAATCACTCCTGGTGGTGCTCAGAGGACCAGATGGGATGCCAGGGGTTGAACCCAGCCTAGCTATGTACAAGACAAGTGCCCTCCCCACTGTACCATCTCCTGACCCTTCAGTTTGAGTTCTTAATGGATATATATATATATATATATTTTATAATTTTATTTATTAACTCACCGTGAGAGCAATTACAAAGTTTTCGGGTCTAAGTCTCGGTCATACAATGAAACACCCGTACCTTCAACAGTGCCCATTCTCCACCCCCAATAACCCCAGTACCCCCATCCCACACTCTCCCCCTATCTGTGGGCCAGATGATTTCCACATTACTATCTCTCTACTTTGATCACATTCAATATTTTGACACCAGACCCACCATTATTATTTGGGATTTTACCCCAACACTCAGATCTGCTGAAAAGGCAACAGTAGACAATTTGTTTTCTATTGCTGGTTATGAATGACATATAATGTCGTGTGGCTGCAGTAGTGGCCATGCAATTTTGAAATTCCAAAATTTTAACACTTAAATCTGGAGGGATTTCTGCCAAAACCTGCTGGGTTCCGAGATTTGTTCCTGAGTCTCTGGGATCATGGCCGTTAAGCAGCTTGATCAGGAGCCAGAAAGGCCATTCATGGGCGGCGACTTGGGGGTCTCGTTGGGACGGGAAGGAAAAGGCCAACTCCACCCCCATCCCTTGAGGCCCCATGTGTCTCGTCACTGAGGGCCCAAACCTGACTGTCCGGTGGCCTCTGGAGGAATGTGGCCACTGAGCCGCCTAGGGGGAGCAGGCAGAGGGACAACACCCTTTCCCAACCTGGGGTGGCCTGGCAACAGTAACTTACTGTGGGGTCCAGACACATACCTGCCAAAAGCCACTGGATTTCGAGATTTGATTCTGAGTCTCTGGGATCATGGCCATTAAGCAGCTTGATCAGGAGCCAGAGAGGCCATTCGTGGGCCATGACTTGGGGTCTCGTTGGGGTGGGGAGGAAAGGACAGGCTCCACCCCCATCCCATGAGGTCCTGCGTGTTTCATCACTGTGAACCCAAACCTGACTGTCCAGTGGCCTCTGGAGGACGGCGGCCACCGGGCCGCCAGGGGGAATAGGCCAAGGCACAAAACCTATTCCTACCTGGGTTAGCCCAGCACCGGTAACCTACTGCAGGGACCGGACACATTTCTGCCAAAAGCCGGTGGGTTTTGAGATTTGTTTCTGAGTCTCTGGGATCATGGCCATTAAGCAGTTCAATCAGAAACCAGAGAGGCCATGCCTCCAACTATATAGCTGAACTGGAGGTGGTTTGTGGGTGTGTCTCCCACATACCTAACTTTTGGCCATTTACTTTCTTGGTAAACTTTGCCCCAAGTTTTGGGGTCTGGCCAAAGGCACAGCAGCAATTTTGGGGTATCTGGAAGTCTGAAGGCACCCTCAGGCTGCTGATGCACTCGCCTCACAGGTACAGATTGACCTGCTGGCGGCACCATACCCCCCTTAATATATATATTATACTTACGAAAGAGTAAATAAAACTCACACATACATACCACACACACACACACACACACAAACACACACACACATAACTTGAAACACGATTGTGAATCTGGTACCCAAGAACACGCAGAGAAGGAAGGCCCTCATGCTCCATTTCCCCCACAGCCTCTGTCATGGGACTGCACAGCTGACATTTGAGGTCACTTTTCCTTTGCTTTTCTTTGTAGTTCTATGGCATTTTTATAACCCTTAGAGAACCTTTTAACCCTTCATTTTAGAATTTCCTGTGTGAGGTCATGCTCTTTGCACTCTTCTTTCTGGCTCCTGTGGACAGCATGCTTGGTGAGGCCTCACCTGCATGTGGTTGCAGTTCATCCTAGTCTCCTGCTCCAGTGCTCCTCTTCCCACCAGCCCCAGTGTGTCTCTCCACTCCAGGTTGGCAGCATTTGTGTTTCCTGTCTGAGACCATTAGGAGCGAGGCGACTATGGACATCTGGGTAAATTTAACTGAGGGCAGGTGAAATGAGGTTTTTTAGACAAATTTTCTAGAAATGGGTATTCTGGGCTCAAGGTTGAAGGATCATTACCTTTTCCAGTAATGCCAAAGTAACTGCCAAGCTGCTGGTCTAGTTAGTCCCCCAGCTCCCACCATAGGCGTCTACCTGTCCACCCAGCTGACCACCACATGGTCTGGCTAGGCCTTTTCCAGAGTATGTAGCCCCTCTTGAGCACTTGGTACTGGTCAGAGCTTTTAATGGGCCCCCACAACAGCCCTGAGCTGGGGGCATCAATGGCGTCATGCCAGCATGGACCAGGAGAAAAGGCTTATTGGTCTGAACCATCAGGAAACCATGAGGAATCCAGCAGGTCTATGCCACAGGCCCATGTGCTCACTGTAGTGCCAGGGGCTGGCTCCGGGCCAGCGGCGGGTGACTGCGTGCTGGGACATGTATTTAGGTCTGCAGCTATGCCTAGGCCCCTGGTCATCAGTGCATGCCAGTCACCCAGTCCCCATCATGGGCTGCAGAGTAAGACCCCACAGGGCCATGGGGGTGGGGGCAGGGCTTGATGCTACTGTAGACTCTCAGGGGTTCTTCCTGCGTTTTGCCTTTGACAGCAATGGGGAGCACCAGCCAATGGTTTTCAATCATTTGCACTTCCTTGTTTAGGAAAGGAAAAGTGCTTGTTTGTTCAGACTTCATACACACTTCTAACTGGATTGTTTGTCTTCTTGTTGACTTGTAGGGTTCTTTGTAAAAAAAAAAAAAGATCGCGTGGTCGCCCACCTAGGAGATGGTCAGACTGCTTCATCAAGACCCTGAATGATTGAATTGAGGCTATTCATGTTCCTAGAAGGAGCAGACACCATTGGGCTACATTAGCGGAGGGACAAATGGAGACATTACTTGCGCCCGCTCGAGTAAATTGATGAGTAACGGGATGTCAAGTGATCAAGTGATTTTTCTAGTATTTTTCTTAAGAGCAGGAGTCTTTTATTTATTTATTTATTTATTTTTAAATTTTTTTTTTTATTTATTTATTGAATCACTGTGGGAAAGGTTACAAAGCTTTCAGGTTTATGTCTCAGTCATGCAAATATCAAACACATTTCCCTTTACCAATACTTATTTTTTACCATGAAGAACCCCAATAAAACCCCACCCCCCACCCCTCCCCGTCCCTGTGAGGCAGATGAATTCTAGTTAACCCTCTATCTGCTTTGATTAGATTCATTGTTTCAATAAAAGATTCACCACTATTATTTAGAGTTTACCCCCCCCCCCCAAATCAGACATGCTGAAAAAGCATTGTGAAGTGATTTGCTTTCTACAGCTGGGTTCAAGAATTAAATGTTGGTTTTGGATTTCTGCTATTTTACCTATTGACCCTGGAAGTATTTCTACTGAAAGTCAGATAGTTAAGAAATTGGTTTCTGTGTTCTGGAGTCGTGGCCGTGCTGGAGAGCCGCTCGCGGGGGGCAACTGGTGGCCTCGGTAGGGCGTGAAGGGCGGAGCGAAACGCTCCCCTTCCCATGAAGTTTTAGTCGCCCCCACACTCCCGGCTCATACCTGCTGTCCACAAGGCTCCCATGTGGCCGCCATCTTTCTTTCCAGAGAGGAGAGGGCGAATGGGGCAACACCCTTTCCCCTCCGGCAGACTTGATGGGCTGGATCAACGTATAGTCCGTTCACTTTTCTGCTCCAAGCTGCCGGGTTCTGCATTAAGTCCTTGTGCTTCTGGGGCCATGGCCGTGCTGGAGAGCCGCTCGCGGGGGGCGACTGGTGACCTCGGTAGGGCGTGAAGGACGGACCGGAACGCCCCCCGACCCATGAGGTTTTAGTCGCACCCACTCCCCCGGCTCATACCTGCTGTCCACAAGGCTCCCATGTGGCCGCCATCTTTCTTTCCAGAGAGGAGAGGGCGAATGGGGCAACACCCTTTCCCCTCCGGCAGACTTGATGGCCTGGATCAATGCATAGTCCGTTCACTTTTCTGCTCCAAGCTGCTGGGTTCTGCATTAAGTCCTTGTGCTTCTGGGGCCGTGGCTGTGCTGGGGAGCCGCTTGTGGGGGGCAACCGGTGACCTCGGTAGGGCGTGAAGGACGGACCGGAACGCCCCCCTTCCCATGAGGTTTTAGTCGCCCCCACACTCCCGGCTCATACCTGCTGTCCACAAGGCTCCCATGTGGCCGCCATCTTTCTTTCCAGAGGAAGGAGGGCGGAAGGGAGCAACACCCTTTCCCCTCTGGGCAGAAATGATTGCCTGGATTAACGCATAGTTCTTTCACTTTTCTGCTCCAAGCTGCTGGGTTCTGCATTAAGCCCTTGTGCTTCTGGGGCTGTGGCCGTGCTGGAGAGCCGCTCGCGGGGGGCAACTGGTGACCTCGGTAGGGCATGAAGGACGGACCGGAACGCCCCCCTTCCCATGAGGTTTTAGTCGCCCCCACACTCCCGGCTCATACCTGCTGTCCACAAGGCTCCCATGTGGCCGCCATCTTTCTTTCCAGAGAGGAGAGGGCGAATGGGGCAACACCCTTTCCCCTCCGGCAGACTTGATGGGCTGGATCAACGCATAGTCCGTTCACTTTTCTGCTCCAAGCTGCTGGGTTCTGCATTAAGTCCTTGTGCTTCTGGGGTCGTGGCTGTGCTGGAGAGCCGCTCGTGGGGGGTGACTGGTGACCTCGGTAGGGCGTGAAGGACGGACCGGAACGCCCCCCTTCCCATGAGGTTTTAGTCGCCCCCACACCCCCGGCTCATACCTGCTGTCCACAAGGCCCCTATGTGGCCGCCATCTTTCTTTCCAGAGGAAGGAGGGCGGAAGGGAGCAACACCCTTTCCCCTCTGGGCAGAAATGATTGCCTGGATTAACGCATAGTCCTTTCACTTTTCTGCTCCAAGCTGCTGGGTTCTGCATTAAGTCCTTGTGCTTCTGGGGTCGTGGCTGTGCTGGAGAGCCGCTCGTGGGGGGTGACTGGTGAACTCGGTAGGGCGTGAAGGACGGACCGGAACGCCCCCCTTCCCATGAGGTTTTAGTCGCCCCCACACTCCCGGCTCATACCTGCTGTCCACAAGGCTCCCATGCGGCCGCCATCCTTCTTTCCAGAGAAGAGAGGGCGAATGGGGCAACACCCTTTCCCCTCTGGGCAGAAATGATGGCCTGGGTTAACTCATCGTCCGTTCGCTTTTCTGCTCTAAGCTGCTGGGTTTTGCATTAAGTCCTTGTGTTTCTGGGGCTGTGGCCGTGCTCCAAACTTAACTCTGACTTTCAGGGAGAAAGATTGGGTGGTTTACTTCTCATTGATCACTTTGTATACAGAGAGATGTCGCGTGGCCGCTTACGCGGCCGCGCGGTTTTGAGAAAAAGTCCTCATTCCCGCATACTCGAGCTGTGTTTGTAGAGGCTTCTGGTCACCGGGGTTCCATCTGGGGGAGGCGGGATGCGGCACCTACTCCATCTGGAACTTGCGGGTGATCTCGGCTCTTTTTGGAACCTGTTTTTTCTTTTTTTTTTTTTCCCTCTGGGATCCCGCACCCTCCATGTGTTCCTTCTCTTATGCTGAACGCTTCAAAGATGGCGCTGGGGGGCGGGCTGTGGTTATTTATTTTTTAAATTTTATTTTCATAAGGTTGTTCACATTAATTGATTACATTCAATATTCCAACACCAATTCCACCACCATTGCTTTAAATTTTCCCACCACCATTCAAGACTGCCAGGGAGAGATGCTAGATAATTATGAATATCATGAGAGGTTGCACGCTTCTGGAATTCTAAAATTGCAAATGGTTGGGGTCCGGAGACATCTCTGTAGGGAGCTAATCCATTTTGAGATTTATTTGGGAGTCTCTGGATCAAGGACATTGATGCTCTGAGATGCACCAGAGGCAGATCACGGGTGTGACAGCCAGGACCCCAAGCAGGCTGGGAAGGAGCAGGAGTCTTTTAATTCCCATAAAAATCCCAAGGCGCACTTCACTAGTCTTTTCACGGTCAGCATTTCTTGAGCCTTGCACCTTTGCCTTCTCCAATATGGCGAAGCATTTCTCTTGCATAATATGGTCTCCATGAACATGTTTCACACTTGGTCCTGTGTGCGCCAAAGCTGGGAGGCCCGGGGACAACAGCTCACCAGTCCCCATCACACCCGAGCCTGAATAGCAGCTTTACTTCTTGGTGAGTGAGGTGCCTCATCTCTGAGTTTGCTTCCCTGTCTGGAAAACGAGTTTTGCAGAGAGGCACCCACGCAGTGTGCTGCCGGGTCTAACCAAATAATGCCCAAACAGGACTTGGCGGGAAGCCTGGCTCGGAGACAGCACTGTGACAACAGCCAGCTGGCCTGGACCCAGCGGCAGAGCAGCAGAGATTCACACGGTTTGTTGTTTCTCCTCAGTACATCAAGGCCTTTTACAACGAATCGTGGGAACGAAGACATGGGCACCCCATAGACCCAGACACCCTGACCCTGCTCTGGTCTGTGACCGTGTCCATATTCGCCATAGGAGGACTCGTGGGGACACTGCTGGTGAAGCCGATTGGAAAGGTTCTCGGGAGGTGAGTGGGGGCATCTGTGTTTGGGGAGCTGCCCTGTGGCGGTAACTGTGTCTGTTTAGGGATCTGCCCTGTGATGGTCGCTGTGTCTGTGCGCCAGTGTCAGGACTGCCCCTGAGACTGGTCAGCAGGAGAGGTTAAGGATGGGAAGGGGAGGACAGAGGCCAAGGAGAAGTGAAGCCCGGACGGCAGGGTGAGGAAGGAGTAGGGCGGGCGCCAGTCAGGCAGGAGAGCGTGGGTTGAGAAGGGTGGACATGGAATTCAGTTTGGGTAAGGAGTGGACTGGCGTGAGGAAGGGGCAGCTGGTGCAAGCGGCTTGGAGGTAGGGTGGGCGGCCAGCATCTCTGTGTTCCCTCCCGGGTTTCCCGCAAAGCCCTTTTCTACTCAAAGTGAGTGAGTATGCCCGCTATTTCCCACCCACTGACCCTGGGGTTGGGCATCGAGTTAAAGCGGGCACAGTGGACGACAGTGCCTCTGCTCTCCCCCATCCAGCCCTCACCCAGCAGGGCGGGACCCTCGTTCAGACAACTCGGAGCCCAGAAACCTGCTCGATAATCACCTTGAGCCCTTCCTCTTCCCAGCAGGCAGGGGATTCTCCTCACTGCTCTGCTTCTGGAAGAGTTGACGCCGTTAGTTTTCACCTGCTTGCCACGGATGAGGCCAGCCCAGAGGTCTCCACAGAATTCTGTGGAGAATGTCTGTGTTTCACACAGGGTTTCTGCCTCTGTCCTTCACATAAGCCTCTGCCAGTCGCTCTGTTCCCTCAAACAGGCCAGCCTTGCCGCCCTACACCCAGAACTTTTGACCTCTACAGGAGCTTCCGGCCTGCTCCCTGTCCCCACACTTCCTGCTCATGTTCAGCATGACATCTGGGCAGCCTTGGCGAAATATCCAGGTCCCCGCTGCTCCCCTCCTTAGAACCCTCAGGGCTGCCCATCTGCCAGGGGTAACGCCTGCTCCTTCCCTGCCCACTGCCCAGCCGGCCTCACCAAAGTTCCTGAATGGCCCCGCAGAGGCTCTTTGCACCGCCCTGCCTGGTCACCGTGAGGCTGCTTCCTCTCTCTTCTCAGGTCTGCTCAGAGCCGCCCTCGCCCAACTTCTTGGGGAAAAGTCCATCTGGGTCATGTCTGTGTGATCTGCACACCCCTCCCTGCTCCTGTGTTCCCTCCAGCCTGGGCTGCCACCTGCCAGCAGCACGTTTCGTTTGCACCTGTTTATCGAGAAGGCAACAGGGCCAGCACTTTGCCAGGTCAGAATGGAGAAGAGTGTGCAGCTCCTGGACACACAGGAGAAGGCGCTGGCAGAGGAGAGGCACAGGGAGGGGTGGGAGAAAGAAGGAGAGTGAAGGCAGAGAAGGGATGAGGGGAATGAGGATATGCGGGAGAGTAGGAGGCAGAGGAAGGAGGAAAGAAAGGAAAACAAAAGGCTGATGAATGAGTGAATGATGGAGAATAAAATTCACTGAATAAATGAACGCCTATTGGGAATGAATGGCAGCTGAATGAATGAATGCTGGAGAAGGAAGGACAGATGAATGAATAAATGAATGTTGGAGAATGGGCATATGAATGCTGGAGAAACAAGGCAGATGATTGAATGAATGCTGAAGAGGAAGTGTTGAAGTGGTCAGTGCAGCTCCCTCTCAGGGCCCTGGAGCACTGAATCTCATGTTGGACAGCGAGACTTGACACTGCTAGCTGCTTCGCCCATGAGAAATGGGGTGCCAGCTGACCCGGGTCTCCAGTCAGTTCATAGCACTGAAAACCGTGCTGAGCTTCCTGCCATCACCACGGGTTTTCTTCCACTTTTAAGCTCTGAAGGCACCAGATACATCGCCGGCTCCATCCTACAGGCAACTCACAAACAACCCGGTTCACAGGAGAGCGTTACTGTTCTGCTTTCCAGGGGACTGGAGCCAGGCGTCCAGAGTCTGAGAAATCTTCCCTCGAGCATCCAGCTAGGGTGTGGTTGGGCATCCGGGGGGCAGAGTTGGGACTGTTCAGAAGAGCAAGGGTCCCCCACATGGAGCCAGGTGCTCACGTGGACCTCAGCCGCTGTGGCACCACAGGGAAGCATGGCTGAGCACGACCTGCTGGCCGGAGCCTACTTCTTTCTCCCCTACTGCTCCAGCAAGTCAGCAGGAGCCGGGTTCTGGGATGGGCTGCAGCACCAGCTGCCGTCTCCGCCCTGGAGTAGCCTCTGCAAATAGCACGGGAGCAAACTGCCATCTGAGTGGGCAGGTCAGAGCATTTGGGAGCGCTTAGGCCAGCAGGCTCCGCAGTGACAAAAGGCGGCACTGTGAAAGGAAGGTACAAGTCCCAAGGCAAGGCTCCACACGGGGCTCCTGTGCCTGGTGCTCCTGGTGACATGGCCAAGCCCGTCTTGTGTTTGTCTAAGTGGCTAATGGCCGTGTGGAGCCTCCAGAAGGAGCCTGCAAAGGACCGGTCCTCCCCTGGAAGGTTCGCCAGGACGCTCCGTGCCCCCGCAGGAGATGGGGATGGCGGGAGAGGTCTGACACGGGTGCTGCTCGGAAATAGTGCCACGCAGGCTCCTGCAGCGTGGGGCAAGGGAGGGAGTGATCTGGGAAGGCTCAGCCCCAGGCTTTTGACCAAAACCACTGGGGTAATAACGACTCAAGAAAATCTATTAAGTAGGATGGGGAGAGCCAGGAAAGATAGTTTGGGCTGCGTTTACAGGGGCAATTGGCAGCAGGGATTCGAGACATGGTTGGGGTGGTTGGAGACACTAGACAAGAGCTGGGCATTGGGATGGGACTGTGGGCTGGAGCTGTGGTGGGAACGGCCTGGTTCACTGGGTGATGGCTTGGCTGAAGGTGCCCTGAGGTGCAGGAGCGGTAAACCGGAACCGGAGGCTAAGGGGGAGGGCAGAGGGAGACCATTACCTGCGATGGGATTTTCAAATCTCTGCTCAATCATGTTTCCTCCCTGTGTAAATCAATTTTCTGGAAGTGAAAATTGTGTTTATTTTCTAAGCATGAGTGTAATTCTGTGAATCCTGTGAATGTAAAGTTTCCTGGAGCCAAGCATGTTAATGTGAAGTTACACACACACACACACACACACACACACTGACACACATACATACACTCAAACACACTCACATAATCATACTCTCAAACTCACATACACACACAAACTCACATATACTCCCACATACTCTCACACACACACTCTCACACACACATTCACACACACTCACCCATGCTCATACATTCACACTCACACACACTCAGGCACACACACACTCTCCCCCCCCCCCCCACACACACACCGTTCCTGCTCTCTGCACCATCACAGCATGTCTTGGGGATCTTTCCCAGTCACGGTGAGGAGGCTTCCTCCATTATTTTTCACAGTTGTGGGGGGGGGTCACTCTTGGCTGTGCTCAGGGAAAGGGTAGGCCATGCTGTTGGGTCTCACATTGCACACACGTGCTCTCCGACTGTGTGGCTGCCCATGTCACGTGACAGTCCCCTTTATCCTTTGGTTTGGACCACACCAGGCAGAGCTCAGCACTCCCTCCTGGCTGTGTGCTGGGAGATCCCTCCTGAGGGACCCTACGTGGTGCCGGGGTTGAACCCGGCTCGATGGGTGTGAGGCAAGCGCCTCCGCACCATGCTGCCTCTCAGGCCCCTGGAAGGTCCTTTCTGAAGTGTCAGCGGCTCTGTGAGATGCTGCGATGGGTTCTGAGAGCCATACTGGGATGCTGTGGCGGTGCTGGCTTTGCAGAGGTGCCGGAGTATGGGAAGGAGAAGGGCTCAGCGGGCAGCTGCGGCATCGGGGTGGTGGGAAGCCCAGAATTCCAGCCATGGCCCAGGCTTCCTGAGACATCAGAGCACGGGGCCAGCAGCCCTTGGGCCACCCATCCTCCCAACTGACCGCGTCTTCTCTTGCAGGAAGCACATCCTGCTGGCCAATAATGGGTTCGCCCTGGCTGCCGCCTTGCTCATGGCCTGCGCACTGTGGGCCGGCGCCTTCGAGATGCTCATTGTGGGGCGCTTCGTCATGGGCATGGACGGAGGTGAGTGTGCCCTGGGTGGGCGCGACACCACGGCTCTGTTGGAGTGGAAGGGGAACCAGGGTTTCTCACACAGTGGCCTCACAGACAGACCCCAGCAAACACTCAGACTCACCATGGGAGCCTCTAGGTCAGTTACGTGGTTCCCTGCAACGCCACCACACCCCCCAGTAATACAAAGCCATGGGGGTCTCCCCCAGACCCACCATGCCAAGTTCGAGTCATTGCACCTTAGAATCCACGTTCCCAGGGCCCCTGTTCCCAGGGCCTGCTGTTTCCGGCTGGACCTCATGCTCATTATCTCCTTTATTTCCATATGGGGCCTGCGCTCTGCATGTAGGAGATCCCAATCTCACCCCTAGAGATTGCCAATTAGTGAGGGATAGAGAGCTATTCAGTACATAAGGGGGGTGTCAAGGTGGGCAGGAGGACAGCTGTCTGAGGCCTATCAGCAGGAGGAAGCCTAGGAGCAGAGCTGGACTCCACCCTGGGCATGAGGGAAACCAGGGCAGAGAGGAGAGTAGAGGCCCCAGGCGGGAGCAAGCCTGGCGGGCTCCAGGAGGTGCTGGGTAGGGGATGAGTCAGACAGGAAAATGACTGGGTAAGTCTAAATGGAGGCTGAATCTGTATTGAATAAGAAAACAGTGATAATACAGAGCAGTAGAAGTGCGTGGGCGTGTGTGTGTGTGTGTATGTGTGTGTGTGTGTGTGTGTGACATAAGAAAGAAAATTTAAATATATGGCTAAAATAACACATAAAACAGGAAGGCATTGAATGAAGCATTGTCTGGGTAATACTAAAACTACTAATTTACACTGTGGTACAATAAGATTCAGATATGTAAAATAATCTCTAGGGCAACTCTTAAAGTAGAAAAAATAGCTAATGACAATAAAAATAATTCAGAAGAGGCCAGAGAAGAGAGAAAAATAGAATATGGAACAGTGGGATATATATGTACAAACAATAAGCTGTTCTATTTAAACACAAATACATTAAATCATCCCAATGTAAGTAGACAAAACACTTGACTCAAAGATGCAAATGGTCAGATTGGAGAAAACAATTGCCCTATATGTGCTGCTTAAATGAGATATGCCTTAGAAATCAGGGCGTGGAAAGGCTGGAAGGAAAAATCAAGGGGAAAAAAAAGTACTTCTGCTACACTAGTCCCCAGGCTGGCAGAGAAATACTAACAGCCCAAAGAGATTTTATAACAAGGGAGCTTTATATTTACCAGTAGTGTAACCATTCTGAATCTGTCAGGCATTTAACAAGCATCATTAAAAATAAATACACTAAAAGTTAGCCAATGTAAAAATGAAGAGTAATCTTTCTACAAATGACAGACTTTCTCTAAATTTCTCCTAAATAAGGATAAATCAGCAGTATATTGAAGTTTTGAGCAATATAATTTAACAAATACGAACTAATTAATATAGAGGGCACATGAAACCTCCAAATAGTAAGACACACATTCTTCATAGCAGGCACAAGTCATTTACAAAAATCAATCACGTGACAGAGCTGGAGTGATAAGACAGTGGGTAGGGCGCTTGCCTTGCATTTGACCGACCCAGGTTTGATCCCAGGCATCACATATGGCCCCTGGAGCCTCACCAAAGTGATCACTGAACACAGGTCCAGGAATAAACCCTGAGCACTGCCGGGTGTGAGCCCAACACAAGCAAAGCAATCAAGCAATCAATTCCCATGATAAACAGAACATAAAATGATGGTATGGTAAGACATAGTTGGATTGAATCAGCTATGGAAGATTGGACTAACATTTGAAAAGCAATCAAGGTAGTTTATATGCACAGAATATATGTTAAGACAAGATCATACTATTGCTAGTTACTTGCTGAGAATCAATATCATATACATGAGATTCTTATTTTAAAACTCTTGTCAATACAAAGAATAGAAGGAACATTTGTTAAACCAAATAAATCCTGTCCACAAAATCCCATAGCACTCCCCACATGAAAGCCTGTCCACAGATATTCACTTCACCAGCATGAGTTTGCGTTTCCTCTGGGCGGGGAGCTCAGCATGATGGCGTTCCCCCTCGAGGCAGCAGGGTGCTGAGGTCCAGCTTGGACAATGGGCACACGGTGTTTTCACGCTAAGATAGGAGTGTTGGCATCTTCGCCACCGACAATAAACACATGAAACATTTAAAAGGATCTTGTAAAGTGCTCAGACAATAGCCAGGAAATGGTAACAGCCCAAATGTCTAGCAACAGATGAATGAATAAAATCTGTGGTCTGTATGCACAAGGGAATATTAGAAACAATGAAATTATAAAGTTTGCTTGAATGTAGCTGGAACTGGAAAATAACAAGTTAAACACAATAAGTCGGGAGAAGGGCAAATACGAGATGATGTCACTCACATGTGGAGTACACACACACCAAACCGGGGAAGATGATGACAGGCCCAGGCCTGGGGTCACAAAACTGAACACCAAGCACTGGGAAAGAGGGAGGTGAAGACTGAACTAGAGTGACACAGGGACAATGGTGGAGAGTAGTGGGCACTTTGAGTGGTATCCTATTAAATATTAACTTCTTTGCATAGGTTAGAATCATATAGTAATTAATCACAACAAATTGACTTTTGTTGATTTATCTTCTGATCATTCTATTTGCTATTTCTTTAAGTTTAGTTCGAACAGGTAATATGAAGTAAATTTGTTACATACTCTCCAAGAGGGCAGTCTGGAGGCAGCAGGAATTCTGGGACACTGGCAGTGAAATTGGTGTTGCAACGATTGTATGCCTGAAACAATTCTATTATGACAGCCTTGTAAATCATGGTGCCTTAATTAAAAACAAATAAATAAGCATAAAAAGAATGAAAACTTTAAAAAGTAGCTAGACTGAAGGTGTGTCCTGTAACTAGGAATAAGTCTCTCGTTTGATGAGCCATTTCAAATTCAATTCTAGCTAAGAACTCTACACACAGTGTTTATGATTCACTGTTAAATTATACCAATGAGAAAAATAAGAGTTGAGTTAAACTCACAAATGTTTAAAAGTAAATCATTAGATTATTTCTATGTGCAAAATACTACAAAAATCTAATCTATAAATAAACTTCAATTTGGCTAGTCACTGTCACTGTCACTGTCCTCCCATTGTTCATCGATTTGCTTAAGCAGGCCCAGTAACATCTCCATTGGAGACTTTCATTGTTACTGTGTTTAGCATATCGAATACATCACGGGTATCTTGCCAGGTTCTGCCGTGCAGGCGAGATACTCTCGGTAGCTTGCCAGGCTCTCCAAGAGAGGCAGAGGAATTGAACTCGGCTCGGCCATGTTGGCTGCGTGCAAGGCAAACTCCCTACCGCTGTGCTATTGCTCCAGCCCCAATTTGGCTAGTAGGGTAATCAAACTGGATAAACATTCAGTATACACATATATTTTATAATACTAGTTTAATTTTCTTTTTCTCTTTGACCTGCTCGAGCAAATCGACGATCAACGGGAGAGCCTTTACCTTTACCTTTATCTTCTCTTTGACATTTGATAACACCAAAAGCAATTGTATGCCTACACAGAAAATGCAATGCACACAATCTACCACTTAAAATCTAATGAAAATCACTCAGGACCTCAGAACCAGTTCAGCAAGGAGTGTATGCCTAACCACAAAAATCTATACAGTACCATGGAGAGAAATTGAAGACGAATAAATGGAAGGATGTTCCATGCTCATACATCAGACAGATCGTGATTCTATTTGTTCTCTCACGATTGATCTCCATGACCTATCAAATTGGTCAGACCCCTGTATGTTTGGTAACATGCAAGTTGTAGTTGCTTCTAAGGATCATCTGGAGATTCAAAGTGCTGAATGTTTGCAAGGAAATCCTCCCAACAAAGGTAACTGAGAGAACTTCATTTGCCGATCCCAACATGTGGTAAAGTTACTGTGATGTAGGCAGGATAGATGGTGCCATGAGGACAAGAAATGGGCTTCTGAGGATTACCCATACTCGTGCAGACACTTAAACTCTGACAAAGGTGTCCCTCAGGGCTGAGGGAAAGGGGTGTCTGTTTAGTGGATTGTAGGATGACATTGCTTTGTCCTTCCTCCACAAGGAGCTTGGGTTTATCTGGTTACACCCACCACAGTGCTCCTGAGGCATTTCCATTCCCTTGTGTTTATCTGTAAATTCTTCCCTATGCTCTCCTCCCCAACCAGTTAATCAGCTTTCCCCCTAATCAGACTCTATTAACTTGTAAGGTTAGATTCCTCAGAAATCTATGATTTTATGTGTATGAGTGAAATATTGCCTTTCTCCTCTCCTTATGCCTTATGAACAGTTTACTTTAAAGCAATGCCCTTTTTGTATAGATACAGAAGACCATTAACATTATGCTTTGTAACTTAGGATTTAATTGGCTTTGAATATTATTCACTCCCGGGCATCTGCTTTCTCGACTTAAGCCTCGGTTGCCCTTAGTTCCTAACACCCCAAAAGCAGGTTCCCGACGAGGGACTGAATGGACTCAGGGCAAGCGGTGAGCTACCCTGGGATCAAAATGGGTCAGGCCAAAGTGCCATGATTCTTAACTATAAGTTAAGAGTTTGATCATAGACAAATGCTGTCATGATCCAAAGGTAACGACGAGACTAGGATCCTGCTAGGGGTGGGAAAGACTATCTGGCCTGAGCATTGTAGTCTGAGATCGAGATGGCCCTAGGAGGGCAATTCTATAAGTTTAAGATATTTCTTACTGTATCCATACAAAATGATTTATATTATATATGCTTATATGCTTGTCGGACAAGGAGAGGAGAAGCACACCCATGGGATTCCGCTTCTAGGGTGGGTCGTCCTGCTGAAAGAGGATCTGTCCTAGGAACGGCTTTCCCTGAGGGAAAGAATTCTACCCCTATTGATTGTGACCACACCTATGTGTAATTATTACCCCAACCCCTCATGCTTTGGGTTTTAACTGCACTATAAGAGTGAGCTGGGGGATCA